ATACCTAACTTATTGTCTGGAAATGTAGAATAAATTTTTTTTTATTTATTAAAACGAGGCGTCTTTCAACTATTTTTGTAGATATATAAGAGGTTCTAAGAAAAGAAGTATACTATTGTAAGAATATATAGCTTTGGGAAGTAGAGTAATTCCTTTGATATAAGTGTATTGTTACTTACAGTTTGGCACATGAGAGTATCGAGCGACACAAAACTTGTCTAGGAAAACACATGAACACACACACACACACACACACGTACGAGGTTATACGTATTTAAAATCGATCCTAAAATAATAATTGTTTTTTTGTAAAAAAAAATATTTATTTTTGCATGGCGACTCATGAATATTCCCTATAAAAATCAATATATGTTTCGAAATTCGCAAATATGGTTTATATAAAATATAAAAAAGAGAAAAAAAAATTTTTTAAACAAATTATTTAAACAAAAAAAGATCCTCAGGCCTACTCTAAAAAATTTTGCAATTTAGGGTTAAGGATCAAAGAAACATTTATTTGAATTAAATAAAAAATTTCTTTTAAACGAAGATAATTATTTTTTGAATCAAAAATAATTTATTTAAAACAAATAAATTTTCTTTGTAAAAATTTGAAAATTTGAAAAATTTGTCAAAGAAATCTTTTTTCTGGATGGTACATTCGGCTAAAAGTATCCTATAAGTTAGACGACAAAAAAAAGTTTTTTTTACCAAAGTTATAGAAACTTGAAGTAGTAAGTATAATAGCTCCGCGTTTGGGGCTATTATACTCAGAAAAGTTTGTTTATTTATAAAATATCCTTAACATTTTTTTATACAGATTTAGGTATATGAAATCTTTTCTGCAGATAGTCTAGATTAGGATAAAGAAATAGAAAATCTAAAAAAAAAATTTCATAACAATTGTTTAACAAATTTGAAAGTTGAATATTGAAATTTTACGAAAATCTAAATCTAAATTAACATTTTTTAAGTTAAATAAACAACTCAATATATAGTTTCTAACAAACTTTTTAAGTTATTTTATGAAGAAAAAGTTATAAAATTAACATGAAAAACAAAATAAATATTAATGAAAGTTATTTTTTTGAGGTTATGTTGTACCTTATGGGCCATTCAAGTATTACGTAAGCATATTTTCAAAGGTTTTGGATCCCTTCCCCTCCAAAATAAGCATATTGTAATGAAAAAAATTAGAATTTTGTATGGTGATTGCAACAATTTTTTTTTCTACTTTTACGACTTTTTGAATTTTTTTCTACTTTCTGTTAAAAAATTAAGTAGTAACATTTAGCACCCTCTATAATAAAACTATCAAACAATATATTTACACCAAAAGTCAAATTTAAATATTTCATTAGGTATAAATATTTTATTAATTAAAAACTGACGCTGAGTATAATAGCCCCTGGGTGATTATAATAGCCCTGGTTGACGGTATGTAAAAACAAAAAAAAAAATGTAAAAAAAAACCTGCCGAAAGTTACAAAAAATAATTAATTTGTTTATAAAAATCGCTATTTTTTATAGAAAAATTCAAATCTTTTTTTTATTAAAATATTTTGAAAGTCTATGAAAAACTGAAACTTTTTTCTATTGGCAAAAATTCCTAAATTCGATACTTTTTAAAATTAGATGTCATTGAAATTAGATCTCTACTTTTAAAAAACCTCAATAAAATCTAGATTTTTAAAATTTTATAACTTAAAAATTTGGGCACTTATACTATTTTTTTCTGCAAAGAACGAAATAAAAATATATTTATCCGAATTTAAAATGTCATAGTTAGATTTCACGTAGAATGTACATATATATATATATCATAACGATATACAATGAATTAAGTTTAGAAAAACAAAAAGCATAAAGTGCACGAGTTACCGTTATAAAGTTTTATCGTTTCTCATTAACATATATGTATTCGTGAACTTGATGTATATAATAATTATCATGTGATTCACGGAGTACATCTGCTTGACAATAACTCATTGACCAGACAATTAGCGAAACTGAAAATTATAAAATCTAAACGCGATATATTAGTCAAATACGATGATTTATAATTGAACGCGATAATGTAACAGTTGCGAGGCGGACAAACAATATATAAAATTATAGATAATCGCTAATCTGCATCTATTTTGTTTAATTAATTCCATTCTAATGATCCTTATTATATCTACAATTACATACTTATATGTCGGGTACATTTTTAAATTGATTTAATGATGTTCATTGTCTTTAACTCACTATAACAAAAATTATTTGAAATTATATAGAAAATTAGAAAAAACTAAATTTTAATTTTTAAATGTCAGAATTTGCAATTGACCGAATTTTGATTTATGAATTCTTAAAGCACCGAATTTTCATTTGACCGAAATTGCAACTGACCGAACAAACATAACCTATACAAAAAGATTTTGGCGCGATTTTGAAAATTACCCAATAAGAAATTATGAAGAAAATTGTCAACTTTTAAATTTGTTTTTTTAAAACTTAATCTTTTTTACCTCCCTGAAGTCGGCTTCGACGCTCAGCGCCGAAAATTGTTTTTCGCAGAATCAAAAATTTCAAATTATTTTTTTTTAATTTTTCAATTCAAATAATACCTTGAAAAATACTTCTCAAGGCATTGTGTGGACCAAAAATCTTTTTAAAAAATGTTTTGATATTTTTGATTCTGCGAAAAACAATTTTTGGCGCTTAGCGTCGAAGCCAACTTCAGGGAGGTTCTTTTTTTTTGCATCAAACATTTTTTTTATATATACATTTTTTGAGTTTTTGAATAATCTATCGTATGGATTTTCCAAAAATTTTAATTTTTTAATTTTCAATAATTTAAATTAATTCTGGATTGTAAATAAAAAATAAAAAATTTTTTTTAATTCCTAATTTAAAAAATTAGCATATATCAACAACGTAAATTTTGAAGGGTTAAAATTTCACTCGTCCTTCCCTTTAAATAAAAAATTTTAAGTTATTAAAATTTATAGTTATAGTACAAAATGGCCCGGAGTCTTAGGGGGCCCGGCCGTTCTGGGTTTGAAAAAAAATTAAATATATACTAAATTTTATTTGAATTAACTGTGTGCGGATAAATATTGTATTATTATTGTATAAATATAAGTATGGTCCTGCGTTTTTAATTGGTTCGCAACAAGAGATGGGAAAGTAATTTACCTTATGTAATTTACATAGTTTGTTTACAGTAATTTACCTTCTATTTTATAACCCGAGATTTTTACAACAATGTATTTTTGATCGAGACAGGTAATTTACGTAAAATACGTGCATGCAATTTACATGAAAATTCTCCAGTGACGCGTCACTACCCATCTCTGGTTCGAAGTGTAGTCATCCAACCTTGCTTGCTGTCATTCTAGTAGCGGTATCACCTGTTTTTAATGTTCCAGATGAAGTAATGTTGTTAAATTTTTGCATTCATCTCAACAACAAAAAATTAGTGTTGTATGTTGGTTGCATATGGTACAAGAGGCAATGAAAACACATCGATTAATTAGTATTCTGGTGCGAAAACAATAAGAAATAATTAATCTTTGAACACAGTAACTTGTGTACTTGAATAATTTCCTATTTAACGTATTCAACGATTGAAATTTAGAATAGTTGACGTGATATAAAGAAAGAGATCTAAGAATTAAATCATTTTAATGTTATGTTTGTGATGATTTTACTTTTTGTGTATTTTCAATCCAAAACTTACAAACATAACCTTAAATTTTTTGCTTTTTACGTGCCTTTTTTTTATATCGCTCCACATATGTTAATCATAAAAATATTGTATTTAAAACGAAAAGTCTTGAAGCATTATAATTTAATTATAATGTATTTCAATTTACAAAATAAAAAAAGTTATATTAAAAACTTAAAGTCTAAAATAATTCAAATGAAATTAAAAAAAAATAATTTAAGCATTTCTCATCCTACTATATGGCCTGCCAATGTTGATTTTCCTGGAGCACGTGCCAGCTCTCCAAGACCCTACACTTTTTTAAAGAAAATATATTTATTCATTAAATATTTATTTTGTATCATAATAATCAAAATAAACATTTTACTTTCTAGAAAACTAACCTTAAAAAATTTGCTTTATTGATTATAAATTTTATAGATGTGAAAAAATTGTTAAATAATTATATTTTAAAAGCAACTTTTTTTGTGCATTAAATCTGAATAATAAAATTTGTGATAATATTAATAAATATCATGTTATCTAAATAGTAGTTTAAATATTTTTTATTTTATTAAAGAGTGTCGTTCACTGTTTTCATACCATACATTTTTAAATTAATATTATAAACTTTTTTAATTTTCAACTTATGTATAATAAATTTTAACTCAAATCTTTTATTTGAAATTTATTTTATAACTAAATATTTAATAAATTCCGATAAAATGTCATTTAAAATTAAAAGTATACCCAGGGTGTCGGTCACTGTATACCCTATAAATATTTATTTTGTATCATAAAAATTTCCATCAATTTCTTAATGTTAAAAAAAATTGTCTCAAAAATTTAACTGCATCTGTATACAAGCTTTATCTACTAATACACCAAATTTTATTAAAAAATTTTAATTCACTATATACGATATTATAATCTCTAACTTTATTAAATACTGCTAAAAATATAGAAATTTGATAATTTGAAATTCAATGCCACAAAAAATTGTAATATGTATAATTTCCGTGAGTATAATATTCATGCGTGTCCCTTTTCAACATTTTAAGTTTCATATATATATGTTTTTTGTTGAGCGTTCATAAAGTAGTGAAAACGTTTTAGCAAAAGTGATAATATACATATATACAAGCAGGATATCTGGTTACAGGAAGTAGATTATATATTCCATATTTGTATATATATGTATAATACTCATTTGTAGTACAGTATCACTTATAATAAGAATCTAGTTTCACGACATGCGTGTTTATAATATGTACATATATATATTTATGTTTATATTTATATATAGGTAAGAGGAAGAGTGCAGTTGAGTTGCTGCAGGAATCTAAGGCCTTCTACGTGAAGAGTGAGACTGTACTGGACCGGAAACAAGAGTTGAAGAACAGCGGTCACCTTCAGGTATCTCAGTTAACAGCTCCCGGTGCACCTCCGAGGCTTCTTAGAAAATGCGGAAATCCTGTTCCCGGTACCATTCAACAGACATCCCCACAACTGCCAGGTCCACTCTCCCCGCCTTGTTGTTGGGCCACGTGCCACGAACAGGATAAGCGTAAGTGACAACAACATATATATATATATATATATATATATATATATATATATATATATATATATATACAACAAACGGAATTAATTCATTTCCCGCAATGAAGACACACGAGACAGAGGTAGCAGAGAGAGAGAGAGAGAGAGAGAGAGGCGCATCTGCCCCGAGGACATAATGTGTGAATGTTCACTATGTGTATATTTTGCCCTCGGTTTAAGACCTTTTCATTGTGTCCAATAGAATTATATATATAGAGAGAGTGAAGTCAATGAAAATATTGCTCACCGGGTGCTTGACACAAAAAGCCGATTTGACTCTCGTGTGTGGTATTCTCCGAATTCAAAAGTAGAGAAAAATTCCTTAAATGTTATTTCGAATTTTTCTAGTCGGAGAATTTTTTTCGAATTGAATTATTTATTTAACAGAATTTTAATTTAGAAGTTTTAACGTGCAAAAAGTTAGCAACGCCATTTAGTTTAAAAGAAAAAAATTATTTTTGCAGGCCTTGGATTATATATGACTTTTTCTGACTTTTTTCGAAAATACACAAATACAAATTTCAACTCATCGAAATTAATGTTGTTAAGAGGTGTCAATTATTTTCTGGCTTTATATGGAATCTAAAATTATTATTGTGAATTGTCAAAATTTAAAAAAAAAAAATTTTTTTTCACCATTTTAGTATTTTTTAAAAATATTAAAATTTTTAAAAATCCATACAATTGATTGTTCAAAATCATCAAAAAAGAATACAAAAATATTACCGATCAAAAATAAATAAAAATTATAGAAAAAGTTGAATTTTTAATGAATAATTAATAAAATTTAAATCAAACATAATTGGTTGGGTTTGGGGTTAACAATTTTTTTTTTTAATGCTTTTAGAAACTGAAATCATATTTCACTATGAAAAATGAAAAAAAAGTAATTTTTACAATTTTTTTTTTTCATTTTTTAGAAATATTATTTTTCTAAAACTTGAATTTTTTCAAAATCCATATGATTGATTGTTCAGAATCATGAAAAAAGTGTATTAAAAAATCAGTAATAAAAAATAATAAAAAATGGCGACAGATGTTTAAATTTTTAGTTTTTGAACATTTAGAGCTTTATTTCAAAAATTATTAATTCCTTACTTGTATTCTTGAGTTGACAAGGAATAATAAAAAAAATAGAAACAATTTTAATTGTTATAAATAATGACCAGAAGCGCGAAAAAAAATTTAAATTTGGCGCTTTTAGAAAAAATCGAGTTTAGAAAAAAATTTTAGGGTGTTAGGAAACAATGGGAATTGTTAATAAAAAAAATTCTTAACATTTTTTATCTTACTTATTGTCAACTTAAGTTGATAAATATCGTATTCCGATCGTTTCCTAACACCCTAAATTCTTTTTTACACTCGATTTCTTAAAAAAAAAAAAAAAAACCCCAAAATTTTAAATTTTTCGTACGCTGCTGGGCATTGTTTATAAAAATAAAAATTGTTACTATTTTTTTTCTTTAACACTGTCATCTGTAGCTGATAAATATCGTTTCCCGATCGTTACCTATACCACCCTAAATCTTTTTCTACACTCGATTTTTTCGTTTTTTAGTTTTAAATTGTCTGGAATATTTAATACCTTTTTCAGCAACAGAAATCACTAAAAATTTCAATTAAAAATCACTTAAATTCAATTATTTTCAAAAGTTTCAATTTAAAACCTTCTATAAAATTTAATTATTTCTAAAAATTTCAACTGTAACTGTTCCAAAATTTAAGATAATTTTTTTGGACCAAATTTTAAAATTCAAAAAAGCATTTTTTTAATTAGAAATAATTTAAAAATTATTATTCTCCAAAAAGAGTAAAAAATTTGTCTGCTGAATAAATACAATTTAGCACAAAATTAATTTTTTAATATTTCTAGGTAAAAAAAATTTTTTTTTTTTTTGTATTTTTAAAATTGAATTACTTTCTAAAAATTAAATTTTTCTTAAATGTTATGATTATTTCTTTTTGTGCTCTAGTAGCACAATTCAGCAATTTTTTTTATAACTTTCACCGGAGCAATGATTTTTCTAATATTATTTAATTTGAATAAAAAATCCACTAAACAAAAAATAGAAACACTAAGTGGTAATTTTGTTAAACTAAAATTTGACCAAGGAAGAATTGAATAAACAATCGAAAGAAAAGTTAGTCTAACTATATTTTTGAATCTTTACATAAAATAACAAAAAATTAGTCTTTAAAACTGGTTGAGTGCAAATACGTATTTTTTTTATTTTTCATATAGATTTAAAAAAAAAAATGTTTGGAGCAAAAAAAATTTTTTTTAATGAAAATTTCCCTTGTAATATCCCATTTAGAATAGTTGATTATAAAAATATAAATATCATGAATAAATGTATAAAATGAATAAAGGAAAATGTGTCTATACTATATTTTTTGCATATAAATTTTTAGCTGACGGAGTACTAAGTCCTCAACGAACACTGCCACCTGCGCTGCCACCGAAGAGCCCTCGATTGGTACCGGCTCCTCAGCGTCGCACTATTTCCGGTCCGCCTAGTGGTACCGGAAGCGATCAACTTCAAACAAAATTGCGTAGACTACTTAACACCGATAGCAAGGAAAATGTATTTTTTCCCGATAATAACGATTATCATTCAACGCAAAATATTCAAACGAATGGAGGCTGTCGAGAGGATAAATTTAGATGTTCCCCCGGAAGTTTTTCACCCGGATGTCGAGATGAGGATCGTACCACGGTAAGCCGCACATACTTCATCTTGATATTTTATATAAGAGAAAAAAATTACCAATGGCAATCGATACAATCATTATCAGATAGAAATCGACCCCTCCTTGTGGCATTTTATATATACAGAGGGGTCGGATATTTTCTACGTGAATAATATGTCTAGTGAAGGGGAAAAAGAAAAATAGAAAATATATCGTCTTCTCAACTAGATGATATTCTTATATATATATAATCAAAATTCATCTTGGATATTAAAGGAGGGAGCCTTTTCAATATTTCATGGTTTCTCACCAGTCAATATTTTCAAGGATTTTTATTTCTTTAACAAATTTTTGAAATTTTTTTTTTATTTCTATTCGAATTTTTCTTTTAAAATAAATTATAGAGTTTCACTTTTAAATTCAGTTTTAAATTATTTTTTTAATTTAAAAATATGATATTTAAATCGAATTTTTTGCCATTTGAGTAAATTGGGATATAAAAATTTTAAATCGATGTTAAAAAAATTTTAACAAGTATTTTGAAAATTGTTTTTCAAACCAAACCACATTTCTATCCGTGCGTAAATTTTTATTTTTTATTTTACGAAGCTGAAGTACGCACCGTTGATGATTTTTAGAAAAATAATTTTTTAAAATGAAAAATTCTATAATTTTTCGCCTAAAAAAATATTTCTCGTAATTTTCATTAATCAAAAAATTATAGAATTTTTTATTTTAAAAAAATTATTTCTTAAAAAATCGTTTATCATAAACGTTGCGTACTTCAGCTTCGTTTTTTTTTTGATAAAAATTTGTGAGACTAGTAAATATTCCACATTTAAACTGTCAGAATTTTTTGAAATGAAATTTACAATGTCAAACCTGACGATTTTCTAATTTTTGTTGTTGCCTTATTTTTATTCAACAAAATTTTTAATTAACAGAAATTCTATTTAGGGGAGCGTGAGGTTAAGCGGCGCAGTCAACATTTCTCAAAAACAATAACATTTAATTGTTCATGACGTATGTCAATAGTTACACCACTTTAACCTTTATTTTTGGTGGCATAACATTTAGGATTTTAATAACTCATATAGACGCTTTAGAATAAATAATTTGTTTTCGACCTCTGGAAATTTAGTTTTTTGTTTTCATAAAATGGAAATTTTTTCTATAAATTTTTTGCATACTTATCTTAAACATAAGTATTTTTTAAAGTTAATATCCTTTACTTTTGTAAACAAAAAAAAAATTGTGATATTTTCCGTTTAGGAATTAAGTTATAATATTTTAAATAAAAAAAATGTACCTGGAGGCTACTAATTTTTTTCAGGTTCAAACAAAATTCATGACATATTTTTAATAATTAACTTAATTTTAATACTTCACTTAATTTTTTATTTAATTTAATATTTAAAATAAAAAACATTGAAAAAATTATTTACGTTTATTTACTTTTATTTGATACAACTAAAATACAAAAAAAAAAGCGAGTGCGACACTTCGTCCCACGCTCCTCCCCTAGCTGAATTTTTAATTTTTCAATTTCTTTTTCACCGAAACTCCATTTGACCGAATTTTTACTTATTGAAATTGTCATTAGAAAATAAAAATTTTTTAAAATGAAAATTCTATTAAACGTGAATTCAGGTACTGAAAGTATTATTAAAAAAAAAAAATATTAATATCAAATTTGACAATTTTTGTGAAAAATGTCAAACAAATTTTAAGAGGCTAAATATTGTAAAAAAGCAAAAAATTTAAAATTCTTGTATAAATATTATTTAATTAAAATAATTATAAAACTTGATAAACTGAATTTATCACTCGGTAAAATTTTGATAAAATATGAAAATTAATCAATCTCGTCGAGTCAATAAAGAACAGTGTTGTTTAATTATGTTTTGATAACTATACTATATATGTTATCTTCGCTTCAGAAAATAAAAAAATTATTATTAATAAAAAACTATTAAACAACAAACTGTAGAAATAAAATTTATAATTTTTATAAAATCATTAAAAACAAATTAAAAAATACTAATTACCATTGTCAGAAATTTTCAATAATACATGTAAAAAAAAAAATTATTTAAAAATACATTTTTGTCAAAGTCGAAAGTTCAGGTAAAAGAATTTAAATCATTCAAATTAGATAATTTTCTTTTTTTTAAACGTATAGACTAAATTAACTTTTAAATAATTACATATTAATTTTGTCATTTCATTATAATATTATTTTAAATTAGGTACTGATAATTATTGTGACTTAAGTACAATTATTGTCAGTTAATCATTGAGAGTCGTTCAATCGACTTGTCTGTACCATATTGATAGTATAATTTTTATCTATAAATTATTTTATTTGAACGACATCGATAAAAATAAGGTATTTATATATATATATATATTTTAGGTATAATATGTATAAAAAAATCTTGATATCTTTATAAATTTATAAATATTATTTAATTTATTAATTATTTAACATTTGTTAAAATGACGAGCAACCAAGATCTTGGAGATAGAATAATATTTATTAAATAAAACAGAATTAGTACAATAAGAATAGGAGATGTGTTTGGTACGAAGCTACCAAGCGAACTGAACGCTTTCGTTAAGCGTCAAGAAAGTTCTAGACCGGATGTTGTTTTAGGGGAAAATATAAGTTACGTATTTCCGATCGCGCGTAATTCAAAAATACAAATAAAGTTTAAACGTGTAACTCGTAAAGCAATATAATATTTAATTCTAACACACCCCCTCGAGTTAACAGGTCTTAAAATTGAATGAAAATACACTTTTGCACGTAGTAAGAAAATTATTAACACAAAAGCTAAAAATTGAAACTTCACATTAAATGTCCATACAAGAGAGTCCAGAGGATTTTACACAGAACACGTGTTTCACTTTTGAAAGTCCTTTTGTCAAAAAGTCTGCCACTTGTTGTTCCGTAGAGATATGTCCAATTTTAAATAAATTCTCTTTTAACACATCGCGAACGAAATGGTGTCGTATATCGATATGTTTTGTTCTCGCGTGGTACGTCGGGTTCCCTGCTAACGCGAGACAGCTCCTGTTGTCACAAAGGATGGTCAAGTCAGCAAGGTCATTGAATCCGAGTTCTCGAGTCAATCGCTGGAGGTATATGGCTTCCTTGGCGCATTCGGTTAACGCCATGTACTCCGCCTCCGTCGTCGAGAGTGCCACTGTCCTCTGCTTCCGTGAATCCCAGGAAATTGGACCTCCGCTCATCAAGAAAATGAATCCCGATTGAGATCTCCGATCATCGAGGCATCCTCCCCAGTCGGCGTCCACAAAACCTCGGATCGGCCTGGAGTCCTTTTTGTAAACAAGTCCCATGTTGATCGTTCCCTTTAAATAGCGAAGGATGCGTTTCGCGGCTTTCCAGTGCTCAAATCCGTAATTGTTATTAAATTGAGCCAGGGCACTTACCGCGAATGAAATGTCCGGTCGAGTTGTCACTGATAAATAGGTCAGTGCTCCTATCAGTTCGCGATAGGGCAATTTTTCTTCCTCGGTGGTGATGTCGTCTCTTTTTGTGAGTTTGTTGCTCGGGTCCATTGGAGTTGACACCGGTTTGCTGTCGGCCATACCGAATCGTTGAAGGATTTCTTGAATGTACCCTTGTTGGTGCATGGTGACTTTTCCTTCCTCTTGGTGGAACTCCACTCCCAAACAGTACGATGCACTGCCAAGGTCTTTAACCTCGAATTCTTCGGCCAATCTGTTGCAAATTTTGTCGATTGTTTTCGTTTTCTGGGAGGCAATTAAAAAATCGTCTACGTAAACCGCAACCAAAGTGACGTCCTCTCCTTCTCCGATTTGAAAAAGACAAGGGTCGGAATTCGTTGGTATCGCGCCCATTTTCCGTAGAGTCTTCTCGAGTTTCGTGTACCAAGCTCTCCCGGCCTGTTTGAGCCCATAGAGTGATTTCTTGAGTAGGAGAACCTTGTCGCCGTTTCTGAAATCATGCAGCATTTTTTCTGCTTTTCTCGAAATTTCGCTATTTCCCTCGAAATCGATTAATTTTTCCAGGAAATCCTCGAAGTGTTTTGGTGCCTCCATGTGGATCTCCTCGTCCAGTGTTCCGTTCAACCACGCTCTGCTACCATGTTGCCTATTGTTGATTTATCGTGTTGTCGATCGGCCAAAATCCATGTTTCGTTTTTTAGAATTGATTTCATTTCGTCAGAAATAGCATGATTCCATTCCTCGACGTCTGGACTCGTCATCGCCTCCTTCATTGGTATTTCTGATAGAAAGCTACACTCCGTGGTTCCAATCATCCCGTCTGGATTTTCGTTTCCAACTTCTTCTTGTAATTTTCGAGTGTTACTTCGGAGACCGGTTCTTGTTCCGATGTTTGGAGTGTCTGTCTGTTTCTTTCCGCTTCCCTTAGGGCGTCCTGGTTTCCTCGCGATGTTTTCTAGTGCCACGATTTGAATTTCCCTGTCCGGATTGATGACGTCGTTGATTTGGTTGTCGAATCCCAGAAAATCGCCATCATCGTCGTCTTCCTCGTCATCGCTCAAATCGTCTGGGGTTTCCTCGTGAATTTTGTGTTCGATATCAGCGGATCGACGTTCATCCTTCAATTCATCGTTGTTTCTCGGAATCGTTGTTTCGATATTTTCGATTTTCCTTGGGTTTGACATTTCCTCTTCGAAAAATTTGACGTCGCGACTGATGATCACTTTCTTTTTCTCATGAGACCAAATTCGGTACGCCTTGGACTCTTCTGAATATCCGAGAAAAATTCCGCTTTGACCACGCTGATCCAACTTCCCTCTTCCTGGGTTTCGATCCAAGTAATACACTTTACACCCGAAAACTTTCAAGTGTGAAATGTCCGGTGCCGTCCCTGTCCACATTTCGAAGGGGGTTTTTCCGTCGAGTGATTTGGCTGGTAAGCGATTTCGAAGATGGTTGGCGGTGTTGACCGTTTCTGCCCAGTAATGTTTTGGTAAATTCGCTTCCATTAAAAGGCATCTTGCTGTGTCCAACAATGTCCGGTTCTTGCGTTCGGCCGTCCCATTTTGTTCCGGGTTGTGTGCGACCGTCAACCTTCGAGTAATGCCTCGCTGTTTCAAATACGCATCGAAATCGTTATTCACATATTCGCGACCGTTGTCCGATTGTAAAATTTTCACGCACTTGCCGCGTTGTTTTTCGAAGAGTGCTATCACTTCTTTTGTCGCAGAGAGGGCTTCACTTTTTGATTTTAAAAACCGAACCTCACACCACTTCGAATTGTCATCGATGAATTGGATGAAGTACCTGGCGCCTCCCAATGATGTAGTGCTGAAAGGGCCCCATACGTCTGTATGAATTATTTCCAGAAGTTCCGATTTCCTACTAGAATCCTTCGGAAAAGGTGTTCTGCACATTTTTCCCTTTAAGCAAACATCACAATCGAGATTTTTCGAGGTTTCCGCGATTTCCACCCCCTTCACTGCACCACTCTTCACAGCGCCTTGAACATTCGTTGCACTTGCGTGACCGAATCTCTTGTGTAAAAGTTCAAGAGATATTTTGCCCTGTTTCGAATTTTGAGTCGCACACGCACTTTCACGGTTTTCTGGGATGTAGTATAAGTCCCCTATTCTATCGGCACTGAGTTTCACATTTCCTTCCGAATCAGATATTTCCGCTTGATTTTTGGTGAACAACACATTATAGCCCCGATCCGTAATCTTCGATACCGACAGAAGATTTGTTCTCAAGTCCGGCACATGAGAAGCATCAGCGAGCGAAATATTTTTCACGTCATCCCGCACTTTTGTTGTAAACTGTACAACTCCTTTTCCGATAATTTGCGATGTCGAACTGTTTGCGAGATTCAAAATTCCCTGTCGAGATTCACACACACTGACGAAACTGTCGCGATCCTTACACAGGTGTGTAGTTGCCCCGCTATCGAGGCACCAGCTTCGACTTGATTCAACTGATAAGCACTCAGTCACTTGTAGGCCAATGTCATCCGCGCATTTAGCTGTTGGTTTCCGATTTTTATTGTAACGACACTCCGATTTCCGATGACCGGGCTTTTTACATAAGTAACATCGAATTTGATATCCACCGTTTTGTTTCGAATCGTCACTATTTTTCACTCCCGGCTTGTATTTTTGATCACCCCGACCGTCTCTTTTATTCACAAACATGGCGTCCGAGTTTAAATCGCGCGGGTTAACTTTTCTCGCGTCACTTTCCTCTATGATTTTTGTACGAAGAGACTCGGGTGTCGGTAGATTGTCCCGGGACTCTATCGCACATCTGAAGTTCTCGAAATCACTAGGAAGGCTATATAGCAGCATCACCGTCAACAACTCTTGATTTACTTGAATGTCCATGTCACCAAGCTTGTCCACTGTGTCGAAAAACGCGTTCAGATGATCCCGTATATCGCCGCCCTCCGCCATTTTGTGTAGTGTTAACCTTTTCAGCAAGGTAGCTTTTCTCGCCGGTCCTTGTGATTGATAAATTTCCTGTAGTTTTAACCACATTGCTCTCGATGTTTCGCAGTTCTTTACCTGCTTAAGTTCGCTTGCGGATATGGACAAGATTATATCCGACCTGGCCTTCAGGTCATTCTTCGTCCACGTTTGCAAACGAGCTGCATCTCCCGCACCATCTCCAACCTCAGGTTTTACTATGTCCCCGTTCACGTATTCCCATAAATCCGATTTTATGAGAACTGCCTGCATTTGCAGCTTCCAAGTGTCGAAATTATTTTTGTTTAGGAGCTCAATCCTCGAAGACACCGTCCCGCTCATTGTCTAATAAATTCACACGCGGTATTACGACACTATTATTATTTCACGAACTACTGGGCCCATAACCTGTTAAAATGACGAGCAACCAAGATCTTGGAGATAGAATAATATTTATTAAATAAAACAGAATTAGTACAATAAGAATAGGAGATGTGTTTGGTACGAAGCTACCAAGCGAACTGAACGCTTTCGTTAAGCGTCAAGAAAGTTCTAGACCGGATGTTGTTTTAGGGGAAAATATAAGTTACGTATTTCCGATCGCGCGTAATTCAAAAATACAAATAAAGTTTAAACGTGTAACTCGTAAAGCAATATAATATTTAATTCTAACAACATTATATAATTAATTATATAATTAATAATTTTTTTTAAAAAAATTCGAAATTCTGGAAAAATAAAAATTTAAACATCTCTCATAATTTCTATTATTTTTTATTGCTGATTTTTTTATAAGCTTTTTTCATGATTTTGAACAATCAATCGTATGGATTTTTAAAAATTTTTAATATTTTCAAAAAAATAAAATTTCTAAAATTGAAAAAAAAAATTTTTTTTTAATTTTAATAATTTACAATAATTTTAGATCCCAAATAATGTTATTGTCAATTATTCAAATTTAAAAAAAAATTATCATTTTAAAAATTTTATTTTTTGAAAATATTAGAAATTTCAAAAATCCATACGATTAATTGTTTAGAATTGAGAAAAAGGCCTGCAAAAAAATTGCCGATAAAAAATAATAAAAATTGTTAAAGAATTTCAAGTTTTTAAAGAATAATTAATAAAATTTAAACAAAAAATAATAATTGGTCTTGTTTAGGGGTAACAATTTAAAAAAAAAAATTGAGAACTTAGATATCATATTTCACTATGAAAAATGAAAAAAAGTAATTTTTAACAATTTTTTTTTTTATTTTTCGGAAATTTTATTTTTCATACCATTGATTTTTCAATCCCTTCCCTTAAATTAAAATTTCGATAGAATACAAAATTTCACTCTTTTAAAATTATACTATTAAAAAATAATAAATTTTATTAAAATTCAAAGTATAATTTAATTACAATTAAATAAAAATTCAATTTTATTAATTTTTTGGCACAAATTTTTTTTAATGCAAACTAATGAATATTCATGCGTTTGTTTAAAATAATAATAATAATAATAATAATAATAGTAATAATTAACCTTTTGTTATTAAAGTGATTTTAAGGAAAAATAGTGTGAAAGCTATTGAAACTTTATTATGTATATAAAACACGTGGGCTTTTGATGACAATGGTTTTCACCTTGCATATACGCATTATACAAAAGTTTATGTTTCCATTATATATAATAATAATTTTCCAAGTACGATTGAACCTTGAAGTAACTGAAAACTAAGAGACAGAGAGACAGAGAGAGAAATGATAATAATAATAATTATTATTATTACTATTATTATTATTATCATCGGTTATTGGTTAGTTTTCAATAATTTTCTAATATAAACCCATCACTGTCATAAAGTTATCAAAATGGCATTTGCGCACGCCAGGATGAAATCGATGGTCGTCGTGTGTAGCTTTGTCCTATTTTAAGAAAATATTGCTTTTGCATCGAGACGTATTACACGCAAGGATAATGCAGAAACTTCTCCTTTCAGCCCAATTTATCCATAGCAGGCCTCTGCGAAGCAACAATCCTCCCGAGCTAGTCGCGCCAAGTGTCACTTTCTATTGCAATTCGAAAACCATACCCGCGAATAGTATTTTCTTTTTCATCTTGTATTTATTATTATATTTTATTATTATTATTATTATTAAATTTTTATATTATTTTTATTATTGTTGTTATTATTTTATTTTTATAATTGTTGTTGTTGAATTAAATTTATTTTTCTTATTTGTTTCAGCTGTGTACGCCGGATATACGTTTTAAATTCGGAAGAAGTAATTCTCACTCCCACACGTCTGCAAGATCTGTTAAGAAATCAAGTAATTCCGCTTCTGGAGAAAGCACGGTTTGTCACAAGTCATTGCCGGATCTTCATACAAGCACGCGACGTCGAGCGTCGCTATCTCCAAGAGCGTCCACTAAATCGTCCTCGAAACCCCTTGTGACCTCTCATCATCAATCTGGAGGCAACTGTCCAGATTGTGAAACAAGTTCTGATTATTCTGACCTTAGTTTTAAACGTGACTCTATGTGCTACCGCAGGTAATTCTTTTATTCTTTTTTTTCAATTTTTTGTTTCTATTTACGTAATAATTTTTGAGAAAGAATGGAATATTATCTAAAAGTCATTATTTCAAATTTCCAGTGTTACAAAATTTGTAAATTCGAATTTTCTTTTTTTATAATTATATATCTATTAGGGACAAAATTTTTATAAAGTAAAATTTATATTAAAAAAATGAAATTTTTATTTCATGGAATTTCTATTTAGTAAGATTTCTATTAAACTGAACTTCTGTATACGTAGTAGATTTCATGGATGATAGAATTTTCATTCAAGAGAATTTTTATTTAATCCATTTCCATTTATTTGAATTTTTATTTAAATAAATTTTCATTTATTTTCACTAAACAAAATTTTTGTTTAATCGAATTTTCAGTAAACAATTTTCATTTCTCTAAATTTCCTTTAACAAAATTCTCGTTCAATAGAATTTTTACTTTAAATTTCCAAAATGGATGAATATTTATTTTACAGCATTTTTAATTTAGCAAAAATTATGATATTTTATTATTATTATTATTAAAGGATAAGAATTTAATTGCTCCTGCAATTAAATTAAAATTCTGTCCAATGAATATTCGGATAATAAAAAATTTGATTAAATAAAATTCCGTTAAATGGAAAGTTTTATTACACTTAATTTTTATTTTAAGGAATTTTTATTTAGCAGAATTTTCATTTATTAAAATTTTTAATTTTAAATCTTAATTTGAGTGAAAATTCGTTGAAACAAAAATTTAGCGGGAATTTAGCTAAATAGAAATTCTGTTAAACGAAAAATTTGAATAAATCGAAATTATTTAAAATGAAAATTGTTCTAAATGATAATAATTTATTTAAATAGAAGTCAACATTATTTCGAAATTCGGTTATATAAAATTTCTAATTAACTTAATTTTCATTTAACAGAATTTCCATTTGACGAAAGTTTTATCAAGTTAAATTTTCCATTAAACATGTGTTTTATTATCAATGAAATATTAAGCTTAATTTTCATTTAATAGAATTTTCATGTAGCAGAATTTTTAAATAACAAAATATTTGGTATAATTTTTATTTAGAAGAATTATTATTTAATAGAATTTTCACTTAGACTAACTTTTAAATGAGAAAATTTTCAATTTTTACAAAATCTTTATTTGAATGTTCACGTATACAAATTTGTATTTAACTGAATGTTGATATTTAATAGAACGTCTCTTTAATCTTTATTTCAATAAAAAAATTTAGTTGACCAAAACTTCTTTTAAGCGCCAATTCAGCAATATAGAAATTTTGTTAAAACGGAAATTTAGTAACATAGAATTTCTGTGACACAAAAAATTCATTAAAATGAAATCAATACTGAAAAAAGTGTTATTAAATACAAAGTTTAAGTAATGAAAAATTTTATTTAATGAAAATACATAAAAAAAATACGGATAAAATAAAGTTATTTGAATTGAAAATCCAATAATGTTGAAATTTTTCTAAATAAAAATTCAGTTGAATAAAAATTCGGTTATACAAAAAAGTAATATACACATATTTGTTCGATTAAAAAAATCTGCTAAATGTAAAAATTCAATTAAATAGAAATTCTTTTTACTAGAGATTTTATTAAATTGAAATTTATTCAAATGATAATTCTGTTTTATAAAAATTCAGCTGCATAAATTTTCGAGAAAATAAAAAATCCGTTAAATATAAATTATGTTAAAAAAATTCTGATAAAAATGATAAATACTGTTAAATGAAAATTTTGTCAAAATAATTTTTTGATAAATTAATGTTTGTAAAATAATGATACAATATAGAATAGATAAATCTTATAGAGAATTAGTTTTATTCAACAGAATTTATGTTTAAGGGAATTTTTATTAAATAAAAAATGTCTTTTTATTTAAATTTCCATTTTACATAAATAAATTTAATCAAGACTAAAAGAGTAAAAGAGTAAAAAAAATTCAGCTATTAAATAGAAAATTTGTATAAAATTTTAGTGCACTTAAATCAAAATTCTGTTGAGTGAATATTCGCGGATAAATAAAAAATTCGATTAAAAAAAATGTTGTTAAATTATAATTCTCTTTTATGAAAATTCTATTAGGTAAAAATTCGGTTAACTATAAAGAAACGAATGTTTTTTTAGGCAATATTCCAGCCTCTTTTCATAAAATAAAAATATTTTTAATAACTCTTAATGATAATATATTTTTTTTTTAATATTCTACTCTATTCCATCATTAATTAATACGAATTAATTAATAAAACATTAGTTAATCAATTCAAAACAATTTTTGAATTTTTTTTTTCTATAACTATAAATTATAAAATCGATTTGTTTTGTCCTGACACAATTTCTTTTAAATGAATAGTCAACTTCATCGTTAAATTTATATATTCATATGTATATGTAGTTTGTATTGATTTTTAAATTTGTTGATTTATCGATTGGGTTTTAGTTTTATGATTTGGTGGTGGCATAATTTTTTTTTCCTCTCTCTTTTTAAAATAAACTAGCAAAATAAAAACGGTATTTAAGAAAATATTTTATTATCGAAAAAAAGGAGTTTAAACAAGTTTATTTACTTTATATTAAAGCGTAATAAATTTTATTTGGAAATCAGTGGAAGAAGAGACGTTTCTCTCTTATCTTTTAGCAGTTATGTTGACTTTCAATTTTGTATAATAAATTTTATGATAACACATATAAAGTTCTAGGAATATTCGAAGATCACTTGGCTCTGGTGGTGGTGATGCAAGCAGTGTTTTATCCTCCGGTGGCCGAACACAAAAATCATCAGGATCCAGCAAATTAAGTCATGGTGCAACTGCAAGGGACTCTGGTGGTTCTTCCGGTCATTGTACACATCGAAGTGAACCGCCACCAAGAATTCAGGTAAAATTTACATTTTCTCTTTGTTTTACACGATAATAATTAAATTAATTGAAAATATAACTGATTAGTTAATTAATTTTAATTTCATTTATTAATTTATTTTAAAAAAAGCAATTTATTTCTGTTTATAAAATTATTTTTTTACGCATATAAATATTCACTAAAATTCGTTAGTTTGAATTTAAAAATTTTTATAAAGCCGAATTTTTGAAATAAAATTTTTATTTAATTGAATTTTATTTTTTTTTTATAGAAGTTTAATTTAAAGAAATTTCAAGTATGGAATATATTTATGTGTTTGCATTTTGTTTTAATTTTTCAATTTCTTTAATAGAAATAGAATAAATAAAAAGGAATAATATAATCGTTCAGGAAGTTAGGTTTTAATAATAAAAATTAAGAATTTACTTGTTTGATTTCATTTGAAATAAACATAATATTTAAATTTACTTTTAATATGTACATATATATGAAATAAAAACCAGTCCTTAATTCTTATGCAAAAACAGGTTCAGTTTTAATTGGATGGTTTGCTCTTGTTTCCAGGATGTTTGGAGTCACATTCGAAGAGATAGCGGAGCGTCTACTCAACATTCCACTGAGAAAGACAGATCAAGAAAAAGTAGTTATGGCAGCGGAACACCATCGTCAGTTGTTAGACATTACAGTCCTGAATCCAATAGTAGCAATAGTCAAACTGAATACAGTCCCACCTGCAATTCAAGGTCAAATTTAATTTTTTTTTGGTTGCATGATTATATTTCCATTAAATTTCACTTTTCTCTTATCTTTCGATTATCTCTAATACAGAATATAGACTAGTTTTATGTAGGGTCATTTTAAAAGTTATAAATTTCGTTTTCCCTATGTTCTTTTGTATTTAAATTCATATTTCAGGGTGGCCACTAAAATTTGCAAATTCAAGGCTTTTTCACGGTTTAAAAAAAAAATTTCAAGGTTTTTTAAATTGAGATTTTATCACATAATTTTAAATTAGTATTAAAATGTAGTTTATTTTAAGTGTAGAACAAGAAAACAACTTCAGTGTTCAGAATTAATTGCATTTTGTTAAATAAGAATTTCTCTAAATGAAAATTTTCTTAAATAAAATTTCAGAAAGTTTCTTTAATTAAAAATTAAACTAGAAAATCCGAAATAAAAAATTCTTTTAAATAACTGGATAAACAATTCATTTAAAAAAAAAAGTGAATAAATTTTCTTTCAGAACGTGAACATTTTCATTAAAAAAAATAAAAATTACAGGTTCTCGGACGGTTGGAAAGAAGGACGCGGACGTCCAATTTTGAGATCAAAGTCTGATATCAGCGATAGATATTGGCGACACGAGAGTAGTGGTCGTTCGACTAAAAAATTATCATCATCATCAACATCATCACGACCAGCACGTTCATTTACACAATTGGAAAATTTCTTTGATCGCTTAGGACTTGATTCAGAGAATTATCAACGTATCACTGAGCCCGATTCAAAATCATCGTCGCCCGTCTTTTTTGACAGTGTAAGTTCAGTGGATTCAGCATTGGGACTTTATTCATATGTTGGCAGTAATCAAGGTAATCCAGGTAATCAATGGCAAAGTAATAATTGTAGTACTGGTATGGGAAATGAAGAGAGTAACCAAAGGTCATGCGATCAACCAAGTATCGTTGAGAGAAATGCGAGAATTATTAAATGGCTCTGTCAATGTCGTAAAGTGCAATTTGGATACAGTTAAACGTGAAATTATATCAATGAAACAAAAAAAAAAAAAAAAAAAAAAAAAAACAAATTAATAATTATAATCCGATAAAATTCTCCAATCGAATTCGTTAGTAGTAATTTTAATTAAAATTTAAAAAAAATAGGGATCACATTTACCTTTTTTCACCTATTTAAAATTTTCGCATCTATTTCACCTATTTTGATAAAGTGACCTTTTTCACCTTCTTTTTTTTGTTCGATAAAAACATTGACTTAAGCTCAGGAGTTAGAAAAATAAGTTATTAGCTTTAAAAGAATTTTTTTTTAACATTTCTGAGCTTATATTTATTTAAAAGGGTCACAAAGTTACAAATTTACATTTTTTTTCTATAAATAAATTGATCTAAGTTTCAATTTATCAATATTTTTCATCGATTTGAAAATTGAGACAAATTTCAATAAATCTAAATTTAAATTAGTTGCAACATTTATTGATTAAAATTGTAATCAATCGAAATTTAAAGTAATTTTCCAATTTAATTTATTTTTATTCGATTTAAATTTTAATCGATGCAAATTTAAATTTAAAGTGATCAAACTTTTAATAATTTTTTTTTTGGATTCTCTTGGTCAAAACAAATTTATTAATTAAAATTTTAATCAAATGCAAATTTCATTGATCGAAACTTGAAATTAACGAAATTTTAATTTATTTAAATATTAATCAATTTAAGCTTCAAATTATCCAAATTTCAATTTACCATTTCGATTAATTTAAGTATCAAATTTATAATTTTCTATAAAATTCAATTTAACCAAATTGGAATCTATTCAAATTTTTTTTCGATCTAAATTTTATGTAAATTATAAATTAATTAGTTGAAATTTTAATCAAATGCAAATTGAATCGAACGAAACTGGAAATTAATAAAATTTCAATATATCTACGATTCATTGATTTAAATTTTAAATTATCCAAATTTTTAATTTGCAAAAACTTTAATAATTGATTTAAATTTTAGATTATTCAAATTTTAATTTACTATTTCGATTAATTTAAGTTTCAATTTTTACAAAATTCAATTTTACTAAATTTTAATCGATTCAAATTTTTAATTAAATCTAAATTTATTAATTAAAATTTTATTCAAATGCAAATTCAATCAATCGAAACTTAAAATTAACGAAATTTCAATCTATCTAAAGATTAATCGATTTAAGTTTCAAATACTATACGAATTTTAATTTATCAAAATTTGAATTGATTTAAGTTCCAAATTTTAATTTATTTTTATTTTTAAATTTATCGTAATTTCAATTTATTCTAATTTTAATTGATTTATTACGATGCTGAAGTACAAAATGTTTATGATTAACGATTTTTAAAGAAATATTTTTTTAAATGAAAAATTCTGTTAATTTTTAATTTTATTTCTTGCATTTTTTATTGATCAACACAATAGAAATTATATTTTTTAATTAAAAAATTTTACAATTTTCCGTTTTTCAAAAAAAAATTTGTTTTCTATTCGTTGATTATAAACATTTTGGATTTAAATTTATTTTTAAAATTATCAGAATTTCAATTTGTCCAAATATTAATTTATTTAATTTTTAAATGTACCGAATTTTTAATTTATCTAAATTTCAGTTGATTTCAATTTCAAAATATCAAAAATTTAATTTACCCAAATTTTGAACTATTAATGCTTCAATTATTAATGAGAAATTCAAAATAATTATCTTTTGGCACCTATTTTCGGTAAATAATTCAACTATTTTCAAGATAAAAATGTACTGTGATCCCTGCAAATAAATTAAATTTGTTAAATTTTGTTATTTATATTATAAAATTAACTAATCGTTAATTGGGAAAAATTTGCTTAAATTGTTTTCAAATTTTACGCTAAATTCTCTCGTATATGAGAAAATTTTTATTAGAAAAAAATAAAATAGATTTGTGATTTTTTTTCTCTTTTTTAATTATTTTATAAATAAAATATTATTTATCTTTAATCGATTTTCATAAATATGATTGTTTTAATTTTATCATTTTTTTTTTTTTTGACAAAAGAAATTTATTAAATTAGTTGAAAATTTTTATAATTAAATTGATAATAATTTTTCGTGAGGATTGAAGCCAAATGAAGTTAAATTAAATTTGCTGAGAATTTTATTCGCGAATAGTTATAAATATATATTAGATTAAGTTACGTTTGGTGCATTGGGATCGTTTGTGCCATTTGAACATTGTATTTTACTGTTTCAATTATATAGTGTAAAATATTTTTTGTTTGTTTAAATGAGTAAAGAGAAATTGTTGATTATATTTGTTAAATTAAGAAGAGTTAAGTGTTTGTCAGTTGCCTTTGCGCTTTCGTTCGCTTTTCTCTCATTGCCGGAAATTGTAAATAAATATATATATATATATATATATATATATATATATATATTTAAGTAGAGATGTATTTTCCACTTTAGAGAATATCGCAGTTATATAAAGAAAAAATACTGGTTTTATTATATTCCAGTAAATGTTATACGAATATTTGTCCATCGTGATGTAGAAAATAGTGTTTTATCGAAAAGTAGAAAGGAATTTATAAGCGATAAATTTTTTTTTAACAAGGAACAGTTTTTTTTTTCATTTTTTAAATTTTTCTTCCTATTTTTTACTTTTATAATTTTTATTTCACCATTCTTGATATTAATTATTACGGATTAAGAATACAAATTTTTTTTTAAATATCAAACTTTTCTTTTCTGTCGATTTAAATCGTAAGATTTTTAAAAGAAAGGAGAATTATAATATAAATAACAATGCCTTTGACTTGCCGGTCTATGAAAAAAACCGCAAACATGACGAAAATCACTCAATTAGTGTTAAAATTTTCAATTTTCAATAAATTTTTTAGACTCTCTGTGAGTAGTGTAATAATAATAATTATTCTGCTTATTCCGTAATATTATTGTAATAATCGACGATTTAAATGTCTCTCAACTTTATAAAAATCAAGATTCAACGAAATTTTTAAACGAAAATTCTTTCTGAACTCTAATCTACATTGTCTTGATAAAGAAATGTTAAAAAACCTTTTTTAAAAATTAAATTCGGTTGATATTGTGTATTTTGGTTTTTTTTTTTTTAAATTGTTTTATCAAGACAATTCTTCATATTTCAAAATATGAATATTTAAATAGTTTATTCAATATTTATATATTTAAATACAAAATTTTTGGAATATTTAATTATTTAATATTTAAAATATCACATGTTTGTAATTGTCGATAATAATTTTTTTTTTATTCTCTCTACATTTAAAACGATGAAACAATCTAATTGCACAAATATAAATAATGTTTATGCCATCCTAGAATAAATAATATTAAATTCAGATTTATAGTACGATGCCACAGTGGTACAAAATGACAAAATTTGGTTTCAATTAATGTTTAGATTATAATTATGAACCAAATTCAAAAATTCTTGTTTCCTCTAACTCAAAACTAAATTCTGAACAGAAAAAAAAGTTTTTACACTTAAAAATTGATATCAACAAATTATATAAATAATAAAAAATAATATTTTGTCGGCTTCGATTTAACATTCATCGTAAAAAATTTAATTAATTTCTTATTACAAATGACCGTAAAGTAAATTGGTTTTTAAAAATTGTTTTAAAAAATAAGAAAATTTATCGAAAACAATTTTTTAATAAAAAAAAACATCCAATCGCAATAATCAAAAGCATATTTACTTAAAAATGTTTTTTTATTTGATCACAAACAGCCTTAAATTGCAATTGTTATATAATTTGTTTAGAACAATTTTTAAGTGTAAAAACTTTCTTTTCACAATTATTTTATTAAAAAATATTATTTACATGAAAAAATAATAAAATTGAGGTGACCGTTTTAGATAGATTTCCCCTATTTATATTTTCATTTGGAAATCAATCTTTTACAGTATGAAATCAAAACGAAACATAAACAAATACTTCAAATAATATTACTATATAATTTTAATATTCAGGTACAGAAGGGCAACTAATACAATAGGGTGCCATAAATGGTTTATTATGACTAGACTTCCAGTCGACTCTATTGTTGCCATGTTCCCTTCTCTCCCTATTATTCTTTTGGAATATTTAATATTTTCATTTAATATTTTAACACAAACAAAATTTTATACCACAATTTTGAAACAAATTCAAAAATTTTTGTTTTCTCTAACTCAGAACTAAATTCTATACAGATTAAAAATTAAATAAATTTCAGACTAAAAATTGCGGTACACTATATTTGTTTATAGGTATAAATTGTTTAAAAATATTAGAAAATTTAAAATTTTGATTTCAAATATAGTCCAAAATAGAAGAAAATTAAGAAAGATTATTTTTAGTGAAATTAACAAAATTTACCAGAATAAATCCTATGAATGTTGATTGGAACGAATTTTCCTTATTTTTTAAAATATTTTTTTTTAAATTATCTCCAAAGATTTTTTAAATAATTTTCAAATTGGCTTCAAGTCATTTTCGAATTAATTATAAATTTATCCATATATGATCACAAAATTAAATATTTAAATATTCACAAACATTGACTTTAATTAATGATAATTTCAAATATTTGAAAATTATCATGTTTTTCATCAATGATTTCACTTTTCTAGAATGAAAAAAATGATTTTGTTTATTAATCTCTAAGGAAAATTTGTTGCCAAGCAAAATAAATGAAAAATAAATGTTAACAATTGAATCTCGACATAAATTCGTAATTATTGTTGGTTAATAATACAATTATAGAGTCCAACAATCAAATTAGTAAGGTTAAAAATAAATAGAATAATTTTTTTAAATCTTGAAATCTTCATATTTCTTCGACTCGAACGAAATTACATAAAATTCAAAAAAAGGGGATTTACATTGATTTTTTTATTTATTATTAAAAAAAAGTTGTGTCTTTATCTCGAATTTTTGTGAAATCATTGAAGTAAATCAGACCTGAAAAAACGACAAATTTAGAAAATTTAAAAAAAAATTAAAAATTGATCAAAATAATTAATTTAACAAAATCAAATTTATA